ATTTCGGTGTAACAATCAACATGTATCGAATCGAACTGAAAACCGTGACCAGAAACCGTGAATCGAACCGAACCGTGGATTTTGTGAATCGTTCCACCCCTAGCACATGCAGATAGCAACCTTTAAGCTGTTTATCTGTTACTATCTGCTGGTGTTTAGGTCAAAGGTCTGAAACTAAAACCACTTCTATAACTGAGGCTTAGCCCAATGTCAGTAAACCAGTCAGTGAGAATGACCTACCAGCAAGGAGGTGAGCAGAATTATTTTAGTTATTCACATAAACCCCTTTAGGGCTGAAACAATTAATCAGATTAATCGATTATTGAAATAACCTTCAACAAATGTAGTAATTGATTAGTCGTTAACTGGAGTATAGAGACTCTATAACATGCCTTTAGCTGACAGAGCGACCCACTTACCCCCACATCCACCACTACTCCTCAGGACGTCACCGTCAAAATACGGAGCAATTTTTAGCCCCGCTCCGGTCCGGCCAGGTCAAGATCTGCAATTGCAATCGCACCAAACAGTAAAAAAAACATGAAGAAGATCCGATTTGTTGAATAAAAATATAGTAACGACAGATCTGTAACTACAAATTAGAACTTAATTCTTAAATATTTCCTAAAACTAAGAGCGTTTAAATAAATGATTGGATGCAAACTATTGGTATTTCTGCAAACAAGGAAGCAGATTTCTCATCTTCATCAAAATATTTATTTTATACTGAGAAGCTTAAAAGTTTCAGCAAATCGAGTCAAAACTTCCAAGAGCGCCTCTCACAACTTCTAAACAAATTTCTTATTGCCGGAATGGATGCAGAGATGCTGAGTTTGGAGATAGAGAACAAACAAAACAGTTTTTTATAATCTTAGATATCTCTGTTACAAAGATCCACAACAAAAAGAAAATATTTGGGCAGAAACCCACCTATGCTGGATGCTGATGGGGATTTTTTTTAATATGTCATACTAAATTAAGTGTTGATTTCCGCATGTTTTGCTCCTATTAATTTATTAATAATATAGTGCATGCTCTCCTTGAGCTCAGAGGAAGTCAGAGCAAAACAGAAGGAACAGCGGAGGCTGTAGGCTTTGCTTTGCACAAGCGGTCTGGAACGCAGCGCGGCGGAGTGGAGGATGTGGGATTTCAGCCTTAGAGCAGCAATTATACCAAAATTGTAAAAATATAAAAACATTTTGCATTTAAAGGCACACTGCAGACTTTGTGACCTAAAGAGTTGATGTTTAGAGTTATTTTAAAAGATTCATCAGGCCAATATAGAGCGCCTGACACTATCAGTGCTACCAGTGGGACCCCACCTCTTTAAATACAGACTACATACGTTTGGAGAAGACGCACCGTCATTGGTCAGGTCATGTGACCTGGAAAAACATTGCTTTACTGCCACATGCTCTGACTGTATACAGTCATGGAGCTAAGGCTTTAGCTCTACTATTTTTCCTCCTGATCGACTACTGGTCATGGCTGAGGCAAGGAAAAAGTTTAAACCTTCTGAGGCCAAAAAGAGAAAACGTGAAAGGGATCGAGGAAAAACAAGAGTCCATCTTGAAAGGAGTTTGTTCGTTGGCACAGACTGAAAGAAGATGGATGTATACCTTTTATCAACTTTATTAATAACAAAAAATAAATAAAAAATATTATTAGACTGCTAAGTTAACCCTTTGTTCCTGGTACAAAGTCATAAATCTTTATTATTTTCACTGTTTAGTAGAAGGAAAATACGGGCAGTTACAGGTCTAGCACCCCTAGTGGCCAAAAGTTACACATTGTGCCTTTAAGATAAAAAAAAAAAGTCTGAATCTGCTATACCCAGTACTCAACAAGTGGAAAAGTTGTCATTTGCTGAGCCTTGTCAGCAAATGCAAGGACTACAGTGTCAACTCCTCTGAGACAGCATGTGATGCAATTTTTGGCAATTTCTATTTATTTTATTCAAAACTTCAGTGTATGACATGAATGCATAAATACCTAATTTTATTTCAGCGTTAAATTCTGTTTAAAGTAACAGATCATTAAAAATGTCTCCGGACCTTTACTGGTTGATGATTTCCTTTATTTGGACCCCCTTATTTTTAATTAGTTACCCCTGGTTTAGTGTTTCTAAATATTTGTTTCCCGTCATGTGCTCCATCCAATGCAGATCATTGGCTCCATCCACATCTAGTGAAAACTAGTGTCATTGGATGAGTCATAGAACGCAAACACTCATTGGTTAGCTAAAGGAAATCATCAGAAGCAAGCAGGTGTTCTTCAAACTGCAAACGCGAATTTTCTATGCCATGCAACA